TTGTTTATATTCGTATTTTTATTTCGAAACTATATATGTAGCAAAAATAGTGTCAGAACAAGTAGAGTAAATTAAGAAGATTATCTGGGATTTCTACAAATAGCTAGGGTTGTTTAAATTGCTTTACAGTTAGATTAATTTTTCCCACGCAGGTCAGTTGCAGTGTTAGGTATTACAAATTTTATTTTTACCCAGCCTTTTTTTTTTTTTTTTTTTTAATTAGAGTAATGTTAAAGCCATCAGCCATTAGATCAATGATTCTAAACCACGCCTCCTCTGCATATTTGTCTTCCCCTCCCCACGCCCCCCTTTCATCTATTAAGAAACTTCCCTCCTCGATGCACATTCCTTTTGGTGGGCCGTGTGGCATGGTTGGTTTAGTACCGGCCCTCCGCTTTCATACCCGGAGTGACCTAGGTTCGAGGCCCGGTCAGAGAAGGTTGTTATATATCTATATCGATACGGCATTCCATTATTCTAACGTTCATATACATACCTCAGTACACTTCGGTTTCGAATTTCTAAATCAAATTCCACCGAGTGCCCACGGGGAGTGTGTGTAAAACCTTACTCATGTATGAGTAGATAGGTTATGTTTATGGAGCTAGTTAGATCCTAGTTGCACATTCCTTTTGGTGGGCCGTGTGGCATGGTTGGTTTAGTATTGCCCCTCCGGTTTCATACCCGGATTGACCTAGGTTCGAGGCCCGGTCAGAGAAGGTTGTTATATATCTATATCGATACGGCATTCCATTATTCTAACGTTCATATACATACCTCAGTACACTTCGGTTTCGAATTTCTAAATCAAATTCCACCGAGTGCCCACGGGGAGTGTGTGTAAAACCTTACTCATGTATGAGTAGATAGGTTATGTTTTATGACTAGTTAGATCCTAGTTGCACATTCCTTTTGGTGGGCCGTGTGGCATGGTTGGTTTAGTATTGCCCCTCCGGTTTTCATACCCGGAGTGACCTAAGGTTCGAGGCCCGGTCAGAGAAGGTTGTTATATATCTATATCGATACGGCATTCCATTATTCTAACGTTCATATACATACCTCAGTACACTTCGGTTTCGAATTTCTAAATCAAATTCCACCGAGTGCCCACGGGGAGTGTGTGTAAAACCTTACTCATGTATGAGTAGATTAGGTTATGTTTTATGACTAGTTAGATCCTAGTTGCACATTCCTTTTGGTGGGCCGTGTGGCATGGTTGGTTTAGTATTGCCCCTCCGGTTTCATACCCGGATTGACCTAGGTTCGAGGCCCGGTCAGAGAAGGTTGTTATATATCTATATCGATACGGCATTCCATTATTCTAACGTTCATATACATACCTCAGTACACTTCGGTTTCGAATTTCTAAATCAAATTCCACCGAGTGCCCACGGGGAGTGTGTGTAAAACCTTACTCATGAAGAGTAGATAGGGTTATGTTTAAGGGGAGTAGTTAGATCCTAGTTGCACATTCCTTTTGGTGGGCCGTGTGGCATGGTTGGTTTAGTACTGCCCCTCCGGTTTCATACCCGGAGTGACCTAAGTACGAGGCCCGGTCAGGGAGAGTTCTTATATATGTATGTATGTATATGTGTGTGTGTGTGGTGTGTGTATATATATATGTATGTGTGTGTGTGTGTGTGTGTGTGTGTGTGTGTGTGTGTGTGTGTGTGTGTGTGTGTGTGTGTGTGTGTGTGTGTGTGTGTGTGTGTGTGTGTGTGTGTGTGTGTGTGGAAAAATAGGGGGTGACTTACTTATTTCTACAACATCTATTTTTTTGTGATTATTATTGATTCACAGTAGTAGCAGAAAGGAGGGTTAACCACGGGACTTAATTGGAGGTGGCCATAGGGTTTAATTATGTTAGATAAGGAGAATATCCATTCATCTTTTTATTTTATATTTATTATTGCTAATATAAAAAAAAACATACTGTAGTATACCACCTGTTTTTGTCCTATATTATGGCATAAAAGGCATAGGATAAAACTGTGACCGTGAGGAATAAAATCTAATTATTTTCTAAAACTTATTAATCGCAAAGCAAAGCCATGTTATGAAACTTTAGAATAAATAAAATTGTAGGTTTTTTCGGGGTTTCCTTCAACACCAAAAATTTTATTTTAGAACAAATCATTTAGTCATATCGATGGACTGTAAATTCAGGAATAATATAATGTTTCATGTAAAAAAAAAAAAAAATCTCTGATAATAATGATAATAATGATAACAATAGCAATGACAATAATAATTATAATAGTGATGATAATAAAGATAGTAATGAGAATTATGTAAATAATGTTGATAATAATAACCAAGATAATTGATATAATGATACGTAATGATTATAAGGGTAATGATGATGATAATAAGGTAATAACGATAATGATGAATGATAATAATGATAATAATGATAACTATAATGGGAGAATTATCTCTAGTTATTTTTTTGTTATTTTCTATGTTATATATTCAATTAACACCTTCATATGTGTTTGTTTGTTTGTTTCTCACAGCAAGTCTGAAAAAAAATAAATGTAAATGGACATTATTCTAATTAAGATTTTCTTTATCTTTATCTCTTCGTTATCCCTTCTGTCTTTCACTCTCCCTTTCATTCTTGGTTTGCCTGTCTGTCTCCTTTCTTTTTCTTTTTCTTTTTTCACATATATTAGATGTCTTTGTTACAGAGGCATTTATAACTTGCAGACATGTTGACTTCTGGGTTTTGTGTGTGTGTGTGTGTGTGTGTGTGTGTGTGTGTGTGTGTGTGTGTGTGTGTGTGTGTGTGTGTGTGTGTGTGTGTGTGTGTTCGTTTGTGCGAGCGTGCGTGCATGTATGTGTGTATATGTGTATATGTGTGAATGTATTTGTTTGTTTGTGCGTGTGTGCATGTGTGTGGTTGCGTGCGCGTATGTGTGTTTGTGTGTCCGTGCATGTGTGTATGTGTCTGTACGTGTGTGTGTGTGTGTGTTTGACGTTCCCTTAGTTCTTAGTATTAGTTGGTTAGTGGGTTAGTGAAAAACCAATAGTTATTTAACTGTATAGCTTTTATTTACATGCAGGAAAATTATAATGGGGGAAGGGAGGGTAAACCAGTCATTCATAGATGTAACTTTAACGGCAATATATATATAATCTTTTTTTTTTATTATTATTATTTCACACTTTCACAATGATCTTCTTTACGCAATAGTTATGAAAATATTATCCAATACAAAATAGTATATATTCTTTCTCTCTCTTTTTTTATTTTTTTTACAAGGTAGACTCCAACATTATTATCATTTTTTTTTAAACATCTTTCTTTGAGTTACTCTAAACTGAAATAGCACAAACCCGCACAAAAGGTCTTATATCTCCCTAGGCCTTACCGTGGTGGTGGTTGGGGGGGGAGGGGTTAAAAAGGGGGTTGGGGGGGGGAGGGAGGGAGGTCAAATGTCACCCAGATTCATCCACGCGACTTGACCCGAAAACGAAAACGAGTGTCAAGAGTCATTATTCAAAAAATAAATAAATAGATAAATAATTTTAAAAATATGGAAAAGAAAGAAAAAAAGTGACTCATATTGTTTTTATGTTTTGTTTTTCTCTCTTTTTTGAGACTCGACAACTTTGTGGTGTTCTTTAAAATTCGATGGCTTACGGGAAAAATATTTTTTAGGTCCGTACTCACTTTGCGTCCTCGACTTATGTGAATGAAAGGACTCGTGACTCATCTCTGACTCATCGATTCCTCTGACTCATTCGGACTCATGAGTAATAAACCAACTAAAAAAAATCAGAAATTTAAGCTCTTCAAGTCTTGGTTCCTCACGCCGCGAAGTTAAAAATAAAAATAGGCTTGTTAACCACGCACGATCGCGGTGGGTGACGGACGCATTTTTTTTCTTTCTTTCTTTCTTTACTTTATAAAACGAAATAAAATGAGTCTATTCGCTTGGTCTTTTTTTCCCACAATGTTTGTTCTAATTAAAAAGATTTTTGTTGTAAACGGAGTAAGGAATTTAATTTTGTGGCCGTTACGGGTGTGACATTTCAAATGGCAAGGAATATTTGGGCGGTAAAGTTCCCTCTAATATATCGATGTTGTCGAGGTTTCTTAGTCTATATACATATATATATATATATATATATATATATATATATATATATATATATATATATATATATGCATATAGATAAATATATATAGATATATACAGATATATATTTATATCTATATTTTTATATATAATCTCTTCATAGAATTTATCCATCTGTTTAAAATTAGTTTTCTCTTCGTATTGGAAATAAATCGTTAAAAAATATATCACAACAATTTTCTCCGTCAACAATTTCTCAAACATATTTTTTTTCTCTCTCTCACGATTTCTTATGACTACAAATAGACGGGTCGTTATTGCGTTGCTCAGAAAGGTGCGTTGAGATCGCTCGAGGTTTCAAACGTCTGTCAGTCTTCGTTACATATATATATATATATATAAAACAAAACAAAAGAAAAAGCAAAAAAAAATAAAAAGAAAAAAAACAGTAAAGGGTGATTTCACATTAGTAATTTTCCCGTTGTTGTTTTTGGGAAGAGAAAATGTTAAATGAGAAATCACTTTTTACTCGATCTACATTTACATTTCGGTGCCGCGTTTTCCTCCTTCCACTGTCACGTGACCAAATCGCACGTCATTTGTTTTCCCATTTAGCTCTTTTCTTCCTCTTCGAAAGTTAAGACCTCTAAATATACAGATCAAACAGAAATCAGTAAGGAACTAACATACATGCTCTAAGGTTGTTATTTTTTTTTTGTCGCAACAATTAACAATTATTTTTTTTTCTTCTTTTTACTTTAGTCTACGCTACGATTAACAGGCTTCTGGTTCCTACATTTATTACTCTTCTACAGCAAAGTCTATAAGGACTACGAGGGATCCCCAAAGCCCCAAATGAAGGGGAAAAGGGATCTCTTAATTACCGGATACAAACTACCTGGCAAAAAAATATATATAAAAAAGAGGAAAAATAGGAGAGGGAGTTTAAAAAATCAAAAACGAAAAATCCGGTGAACAAATAATACCAGTAAAGAAAACGCGCATCAAAGAAAACGGAATTCACTACCTCACGAAGCAGAAAACGAGTCTCATCAGTGTGTGCTAAATATTCTGTCTTTTTTTATACTTCTTTTGTTTATTTTTTTATTTTTTTTTAATTACTAGATCACTACGAGGAATGGATGGTAGTTGGGTGGGAGGTGGGAGGGAGGGTGAGTTTTCTTTTTTTTTCTTGTGTTTAAGAAAATAAGGAGAAGAGAGAGGGAGGGCGGGAAAGAAAATGGGAGGAAGGAAGGGCAAAATACCCGAAAGAGAGAAAGAGAGAGAGGGAGGGAGGGAGGGAGAGATGGATGCCAATGGATACCAAAGGCAATGCCATATATAATAGAAATGAAAAGAAAAAAAACCCGAGTCGCTGAGGAGGCGGCAGCGAAGTCGACAGGAACGAAAAAGAGAAAGAGAAAAAAAACAAAAACAAAAACAAAGAACAGGAACAGGAGGAGTAGTAGGTAGAGCACAGGAAAAAAAAAACATTATTAAACACTAGGGTCCCTGTGGCTAATAAACCCCCCTATAGGCCAGAGTCAGGACCGCCAACGGGACGGCAACGAAAGTGGCGGCCGGGAGACTGGCCGAGTTGCAGCCGTCGTCCTTGCAAGCACAGACCCAGGAGCGGGTGTTGTAGCCGCTCTTGTAATAACACTCCTTGCCGTCCTCGTCGTTCTCTTCCCAGCCACAGGCGCGGTGGACTCGAGTCTCAGACGGATGGGCTGGGGGAATAAAGGAAGGAAATGAGTGAATAGGACGTGGGTGTAAATGCGTTTTTGTTTTGTTTTATATTCATTTTCTTTATATGCGTTTTCTTTGGTTTGGTTTCTTCGTTTTCTGTTTAATGGGTATGGGATGATTTTTTTTTATTTCAACATACAGTAGTTATTTCTTATTTGCTTATTTCTTTCTTCCAAAATTTCTTGCATGTAGTGTGAAAAGATGCAAGGTACGAAGTTACATTGATATATGATAGACTGATATATATATATATATATATATATATATATATATATATATATATATATATATATATATATGAAAACTGATTCAAAGACAGAGAGGATAACGTGCTACATCTATTTTTATTCAATTAATTCAAAAAGTAATTTATAAATTTAATGAGACTGGTTCTCGGTTGGCTGCCGCAAATTCCGCCAAAATAAATGAACTTTCGTCTTTAAATTTAAAGTCACTCTCATTTTTCTGCGAAGTTAATATTTGTTATTTGAACATGTACCCTCTGTTTATTCTGTTTCCTGCTCCAGCAATTCGTGGGAAAGGCAAGAGATACACTTTGCTATAAACATAATCTTTTATAATAAAGAAAAGGGCGCTGCTGCTGAAATGACTAAGCTGTTCTTCGATTTTCTTTTTTTACTTTAAAAGAGCGAAGGAAAATGAGTGAAATCCGCATAAAACTTATTCTTAAAGTAAGAACAGGATCCACTGCGACAAAGTAGTAAAAAAGGTATGAATGAGAACAAACAGTTTTACAGTTGATCAAGACAGAACGGAAACCAGTATAAAAGAACTTGGCGCATTGAGAAGATATTCATTCAAGATATTCAAACCTTTTCTACATTACTCCGAAAGATAGGAGTTGGCAAAATCAATGACCTGGGATATCTTGGGTCATTTGCTCTCTCTCTGAACAGAATAGATGAAAAGGGAGATTTTTAAAGATTTCTTAATATGTAAAATTCCCCACAATTACCTAAAAAAAATTATCATTATTATTAATGTAACAATATTAAATGCAAAAAAGAAAAAAATAATAATCTACTCTTACGACCCCCCCCCCCCCAAGAGACTATCAAGAGGCTATAATAAATGAATAAAAAGAAATAATAATGATGATGATGATGATAATAATAATAATAGCAATTACAAATGATTAATTATATTCTACTCTTACGATCCGCTAAAATGACTCACCTTTAAAATATTCAGTAATAATAAAATGATAATGATAACATTAAAAATAAATAAATCCCAAAATCGCAACGACTCAACAACAACAACAATAATAATAATGATAATGATAATAATGTCAATGCTAATGCTAGTGCTAATGCTAATGCTAATGCTAATAATAATAATAATAATAATAATGATAGTAATAATAATAATAATAATAATAATAATAATAACAATAATACTGATAATAAATGAATAAAAAAAAATAAACAAAGCCCCGAATCTGCCCACCTCCGCCCCCCCTAGAGCGACTCACCAACTCCGAAGTCCATGTCCATCGCCATCTCGATCTTCCTGCAGAGCGTGAACCTGTGGCCGTCAGCCTCGTCGCCGCAGTCTGTGAGGTAGTCCTGAGCCTTCGGGGTGTCCAGGTTGAGGCAGTCGGGCTCCAAGTGGCTGTTGCAAGTGTAGCATCTGATGGCCGATCCTGTGGGGGGAGGGGAAGAGAAAAGGCTGGTTTGAAAAAAGGGGGGAACGAGGGAGTGAGAGGGATAGATGGTGATTTTTTTTTTCTCTCTTTCTCTCTTTCTTTTTCTCTCGCTGTCTTACTCTCTCTGGTCTTTGTTTCTCTGTCTGTCTCTGTCTGTCTCTCTCTCTCTCTCATTCACACACACACACACACACACATACACATACACATACACACACACACACACACACACACACACACACACACACACACACATCCAAATACGTACACACGTGCGTGCACACAATAGGTACACGCATGTGCGTATGTACATGTGTATTGTTTTGTATGTTTGCTGATCATCTCTATGTACATACATAATTTTCTTTAAGTGCAAGTATAAATGTATATATTAATAAACAAATAGTATATGGAAATAAACATATATTTGCACATGCACGATTAAATAATATATCATTGTGTTTACATGTGTTCCTTTTTGTCTAAACATACGAGTAGTAAATCATCTGAACTACAGATGGCAGCACTTGCTAAATTACGAAGATTAAATTCCTGTTATCGTTATTTTCCTACGAAGTTCGGTCATTTCCTCTCATCCGGCGCTTCTTCCTTCGCTCGACCCTGCCGGCTGAGCCCCACGTGGTGCTTAGGGCCTAGCCTTATCAGCATTTTATCAGCAGTTTATCATTTTCACCGGTCACGCAGTTCACATGGGTTTGCGGTGTCACAGGCTTAATCAGACCTTACGGCTGCCGAAGTGTATGATAACTTTTTTTTTTATTTGTGTACAAGCACTAAAAAATAAAAGACCCACACACATACATACACATATATATATGAAGAGAGAGAGAGAAGTGGATTTGTATGTGTGTATTTGTGCATTTGTATCCTAAAGACATAACAGCTAAGTAACATATATCAAACAGACTTCCAGAAGCGGATATGCTCTAGTGATTTATATATATATATATATATATATATATATATATATATATATATATATATAAATATAAACATATAAACATAAATATAAATATATACATATATATATATGTATATATATATATATATATATATATATATATATATATATATATATGTGTGTGTGTGTGTGTGTGTGTGTGTGTGTGTGTGTGTGTGTGTGTGTACACACACACACACACACACACACACACACACACACACACACACACACACACACACACACACATATATATACATGTTATCGCAAACGGAAATGACTACATTGAGACATTTCAAATTCTACATAATCAAGCCTCGAAATCATATTTCCTTTCTTTCTAGACTGATATGACTATAATAATAATAAAAAAGAAAATATATGATCTTATACATATTTATTTCACTAAAGATTTTAACAACTTCCATAATACTTCATGATACAGTGTTATCCGGACGGTTTCATTAGTATTTTCTTATCAGGACAAGACCTCCCTTATCTCCGCTATCGGTGTTCTCTACTTTATATCGCTCCGTTCTGTCGCCCTCTGGCTCCCCCTCCCCCCCTCTTCCCGTCAGTAAGTAGAACATGAAGAGATATTATATCCAGAAAATTTGAGGAAATTCCCGTGTCTAGAAGATCGGAGGTTTGAGTGTGTGTGTGTGTGTGTGTGTGTTTACGTGTGTGTGTATTTACGTGTGTTTGTCCGCGTGTGTCTATATACTGGATATATATCAAGAATATATTGCATTGTATACATATACAACCCCCCCCCTCTACATATGACAATCCTCCTTCCCTCCACCGAACACAAACAATCGATCATTTTCCTTCTTTTCAATCACCCTCTCTCTCTATTCCTCCTCCCTTTCCTTTCTTCCCTCCCTCCCTTCCCTCTCTCCTCCCTCCCTTCCCTCCCTTCCTTTCCTCTCTCTCTTCTCCCTAGCTTTCTTCCCTCTCTCTCCTCCCTTCCCTCTCTCCTAGCTCCCTTTCCTCTCTCTATCCTCCCTCCCTTTCCTCTCTCTCTCCTTCCTCCCTTTCCTCTCTCTCTCCTTCCTCCCTCCCCTCCCTCTCTCCTCTCTCCCTCCCTTTCCTCTTCTCTCCTACCTCCCTTTCTTCCCTCTCTCTCTCCTCCTTCCCTTTCCTCTCTTTCTCCTCCCTTTCTTCCCTCTCCTCCCTCCTTTCCCTCTCTCTCTCCTCACTTCCTTCCTTGCCTCATTCCTCCCTCCCTTCCCTCTCTCCTCCCTCCCTTCTCCCTAGCTTTCTTCCCTCTCTCCTCCCTCCCTTCTCCCTAGTTTTCTTCCCTCTCTCCCTCCTCCCTTCCCTCCCTCTCTCCTACCTCCCTCCCTTCCCTCCCTACAAAGTCCTCATTGATACCTAGTTGAGTGTGTACTGATCAGCTTTTCGTATCGATGCAACAGCAGGTCACGGACATAGCAGGCTAGGTTGCAGGATTCTGTTGCCAGGCCGAAGCAGGTTGGAGTGTTATGGGGGGGGGGGAGAAGTTATGTTCTCTCTATTTAGTTATTATTCGTTATATTTGGTATATTTCGCTATATTCAGTGATTTAGTGATATTAGTTATATTTAGTTATTTAGTGATATTTAGTTATTTAGTGATATTACTTTTATTCCGGTATATTCAGTTATATTCAGTTATTTAGTTGTGTGACTTTTTCGTTATATTCAGTTACTTAGTTATATTACAGATGTATATCGTAGAATAGGAAGCGAAATGAAGAGAGAAGAGTGATGGGAAGAGAGAATAAAAAAGGCTGATAAACATCAATAAAGGAGTGAGAGGAAGAAAACCATGATAAAAATGAAGAAAGGGAATAATAGTAAGAAACGATGATAAAAAGTATGAAGGGAATGATGAACAGTTATAAAGGAATGAGAAGAAAACAATGATAAACAGAAGGAGGGGAATAATAAACACTGATAAAGGAATGAGATGAAGAAAATGATAAACAATAAGAAGGAAATGATAAACAGTAAAATAGGAATAACAGAAAGTAAGAAAAACACTAGTAACAAATGAATGACAATAATAACAGATAGTAAAATATAAGAAAAAAAAACAAGTAAAAAAGGCGAAATAGAAACAAACAAAGAATAAACAGAAAAGAAAGAAAATAATAGAGTAAGAATAGAGTAGCACATGACATATATTAGTATCCATTGAGAAAATAAATGCTTGACGTCACCAGCGCATTCAAATAGCAAGGAAGTCAGAAATATCGACGTATTTTCCCAGTCGATGTCAGACAGTCACACGTCATCTCAAGAAGGGGAAATTGCGGGAAATTGATGAGGGGAAAGATATCGTGTTAGTAATGGAATGCTGGAATCGCGTGATGTGATACACAAAATTGCTGTTTGTGTGTATTATTGTGTAAATAAAAAAAACATAAATATATATGTGCATGTTTATATATACATATATTACATACATATATATATATATACATGTGTATATATGTATGCATATACTATAGATATGTAAACGTGTTTGTATATGTGTATACATATATGTAAACATTTATATGTACACATATGTAAACATCTGTATACATATGTACTCATGTATACATATATGTGAACATTTATATGTACATATATATAAACATATGTGTGTATATATATATATGCGTATATTATGTCTACGTACCCTCCTCACCCAAACAACCACCTAACCAACTCGCCCCCCCTTCCCCCCTTCCGGAAATCCGTCGCCATCCGCAAGAGGGAAACATCCTATTGAAAATCCTGAAAGACGGCGGGGCAGGTAGGATCCCTCGCGCAGGAAAGCCAGGATGTAGGACGTTGCCTGTGATGAAGGACTTCCACCCTTGGGACATCCTTATATAGGTGGGGGAGAGGGGGGGGGGAGGGGCGATCGGTGGGCGGAACGGAGCACCAGCCTCTTTACTTCCTCGCGAATGGGTTGTTGGGCTTGTTTGGCCCTCGTTCCGGACTGCTTAATTGCTCGTTGGGTTGTTAAAGGGGTTGGGTTTGGTTTCTGTTTGTTGTGGTAAGTGTGTTTTGATAAGGTTGTGATTTGTTTTCTTTTCTGTTATTTTTTTTTATAAGGTTGTGATTTTTTTTTCTTTTTTGTTCATTGTATTTTTTATAAGGTTGTGATTTCTTTTTTTGTTCATTGGATTTTTTTATAAGGTTGTGATTTAGTTTTCTATTCTGTTCAAGGTTGTGGTATTTATAAGCTTTTGTTGATTTTATTTGTAATGAAATTTGATAATATTGTTTTATTTTAGGGCTGTGGTATTTATAAACTTTATTTGTAGTGACTATTCTGATTGGAGTGTTGTAATTAGCTTGTTTTTTTTCATAGCGAAGACCTGCAGTGAATTTTGATTGCAGTGTTTTGATAATTTTTTATTATGACATACGTTTTCTCACAGGATTTAGAGTGCAATATTAAACGTATGTTTTTTTGCTCTGAATTTTAATTACGTTGTAATTTTATGACATATGCTAGTTTGTACTTCATTTCAAAATTCAATATCATAAAAATATTAATTTTACACTTAAATATAAACTTCTATTTCTAATAACGTATGTCTTTCATTTGAATCTTTATACCAATGTCGGGAGCTTTTTAATTTTTATGTTATGATGAGCTTATACTTTCGTTATAACATATGACAGTACTGAACTTTGACTGAACTGTAATCATCAATAACGTATTTATATTTGTATTGAGTTTTGGTCATATTATATCATTGTGATTGTTGCTGCTGATTAGTTGGTTTCTTTAACTACACCAACTAAGTAATTAAAATAATACCCATTAGACTCTGATTATTATGTACCACTTTCAGTATACTTGACAGGAAAAATAAAATTGAAATCACAGTCCCGTGTCTAACTTGTCATGCACACATAGCTTTGCATGTTTTGTCATGAGCGAATCTGCCATGAACAAGACTGAAACCGAAACATGATACGAGCAGATTACAGTCATGAAAGAAACTGAGAGAAAAAAAAGTAAACTAAGAGTTATTCAAATATTCTGG